AACACCCTCGCACAGACATACATGCAGGCAAAACACCAATGCACATAAAATAATTTTAAAAAATGATTAAAGCCGAGTGTGGTGGCTCAGGCCTATAATCCTAGCACTTATAGGTAGAGCTGAGAGGGTCAGGAGTTGGAGACCAGCCTCAGCTATATTAGAGCCTGAACTCAGCAAAGAAAATTAAGATGTGACTATTTTATCATATTTTAAAAATTATTAGGACAGAATGTTTTAGTGGAAAGCATACATTGTTTTAAGCCTTTCCTCTGAGAGTAGCATACTATACACCAGGTTTGGAACTTGATTTCTTTCTTTGTTTTGCTTTTTAAACATGTGTTTACTTCTGTGTGTGTGTGTGTGGGGGGTAGGTGGGTGTGAACTTGCCACACCTCGAGTGTGACAGTCAGAGGACAGCTTGCAGGAGTTGGTTGTCTCCTCTTGAATGTGAGAACTAGGAACTGGACTCAGGCTATCAGACTCGGTGGTAAGCGCCTCCTTGACCAGCTGAGCCATCTGCTTGTTTGCTGAGTTCTCTTCTTGAAGATGCACCTTAGCGTGTTTTCTGCAGGAGCCCGGACAGGCTTCCTCATTCTCTTTCAAACCTGCAATGCATTCCGTCTTGTATAATCATTTCTGGGGCTGGTCTGCTACTGGTGTATCGATGGGCGGTCTCCAGGGTGCTTTGCTGTTATATAAACATTAGAATGAACACATCATTTCACACACGTGCCAGGATTCATGAGATAACTTGGCCCAGGCCTGTGCCTCTGCTATTGCTGTGTGAGCATTCTGAAGCCCATCTCTACCCTGCAGGGCTTGATGGCTTCCCCGGAGTGTCACTATGGGTGTTCTGGGCCCTCTGCATTGATGCAAACAACTGAACCACTGGGCTGGAGGGATGGTTCAGCGGTTAAAAGCATTTGCAATGCTTGCAAAGGATCTGGGTTGGGGTCCCAGCACCCATATCAGCGGCACAGCGGTCATCTAACTCCAGTTCCAGGAGATCTTGCGCCCTCTTCTGGTCTCCTCAGGCACTGCATGCAATTGGTACCCATACATGCCCACATACACTCAGTCATACACAGAAAACAAAAATAAATATATCATTACAAAGTAAATAATAAAGGACGGTAGAGTGCTGCTCAGTGTTAGATCACAATATTGGCAAGCTGGAATCTCCTGGGAGTGGGGAGAGAAGAAAAAAAGTAGGAAAGGGAAAAAGGAGGATGGATGGGAGGGAGGGAGGGAGGGAGGAAGGGAGGGAGGGAGGGGGAAGGAAGGGAGGGGGAAGGGGGCAGGGAGGGAGAAAGCCATAGCTGCAGTGTCAAGAGAGAAACTCAGGTGACTTTTAGCCTGAGTAGCTGCAGGATGGGTTTGTCCTGCTGAGCTGGGAGGTCTGGGAGGCTGCAGCGTGTGAGCAGAACCAAGTGTGGGCCGGGCTCCAGCATCGTCTGAACTTGGACTGTCTGTCTCCCTGTCAGGTCAGCAACAGCATCCAGCCAGTGCTGAAGACCAGCTCCCCCTTGCTGTGTTTGTTGTTTGTGTCGTTACCACTCTTAGCGATGAGGATTCTCCCTTCTATGCAGCTGAGGCTGACTCAGTGTGATTTCAGCAGCGTAGGAATGTATGGTGAGTCCAGGGGCCTCAGCCCCAGGAAATCCAGAGTGATGCAGAGCCCCAGCCTGAACCCCTCCACCTCCTCCACCCCCTCCACCCCCTCCGCCTCCCACTGGAGTCCAAACTGCAAGGAATCCTTTTTTGTGAAAATTTAAATTACACCACCTCTCTCTCTCTCTCTCTCTCTCTCTCTCTCTCTCTCTCTCTTGTGTGTGTGCACACTGAACATTACAGTGCATATATAGAGGTCATAGGAAAACTAATAGGAGTCGGTCTCCTTCTACCGTGTAGGTCCCAGGAATCAAGCTCAGGTGGTCAGGTTGGGTGGCAAGTGCCTTTGCCCCTGGGTCACCCCGACAGCCCTCTACCCTCTGCACCCACTTTCTAACACATATGCACACCATTCAGGGTCTCAGGTGGAAAGACAGAGCACACTGAGAATGGGTGATGCGGGGAATGATGAAGCCAGGTGAGGACAGGGAGGACCTAAGGACCCTTAAGGAGATGATGTTCCAGCGGAGGACTTCTCTCCATCTTTAAGCCTAACGATCAAAGGAGTGATTCTGAGTTCCTGGTCCTCTTGCCTCTGCATCCTGGAGTGCTGACTGCAGCTGTGCAACACCACCTGACCCATGTCCTGCTGGGGGACCCCGCCTCACTGGGTAAGGTGGAGAGCGGCTGGGGGAGATGCCGACCTCTGCTCTCCATGTGCACATGTGCACAAGTGTCCATGCATATACATCCACGTATAGCCATACACATGTGCACCTACACACAGAATACACACACACCACACACACACACACCACACACATACACACACCACACACACACACACACACACACACACACACACACACACGCACACCACACACACACA